CGGACCAAGAGACTAACGCCAAGTATATGCCTGTGGCCACGCTGTCGAACAAGCAACCGCTAGTCACGATTTGTAACAGCAGCCTTTCAGAGTTTGGAGTCTGTGGATTTGATCTTGGATATAACATTGAAGATCCATCAAATTTATGCATGTGGGAGGCCCAGTTTGGCGATTTTGCCAATGGTGCGCAAGTTGTTATTGATCAGTTCCTTTCCAGTGGTGAAGAAAAGTGGCAGTTGAAATCCAGTCTCATTTTGTCACTTCCACATGGTTACTCTGGGGCTGGGCCTGAGCACAGTTCTGCCCGAATTGAGCGTTACCTGCAATTATGCAGTGATACCGACGTGGTCCCTGGTAACTTCCGTCAGGAGTCTGCTGCACGCATGCTGGAGGCACGCATTCAAAAGTACAATTGGCAGGTCTGCTACCCCAGCACTCCTGCCAACTACTTTCATATGCTCCGCCGCCAGGTAGTGCGGCAAGATGTAAAGCCCCTTGTATTTTTCTTCTCCAAGGCTCGGCTTCGTCCCCCAAATGTGTCTTCTCTTGCGGAAATGGCAAAGGGCACATCGTTTTTGCCTGTTATTGACACCGCGGAGAATGAAGCCGTCGTCCCACGGAAAGTTCTCTTTTGCTCCGGTCAGATTGAAAGCATTGTGAATGATCATCGCCAGAAGCTCCGGGCATCGAATCATGGCGCGCATGATGATGTGGTGCTGGTGAAGCTGGAACAATTATCACCCTTCCCTTGGGAACAAGTCGCCGACGTCTTGGAGAAGTACCACAGTCGCAATTCAGACGTTGAATTTACATGGCTGCAAGAAGAACCCAAAAATATGGGTCCATGGGCATACGTGCGTCCACGCTTCCAAAAACTCATGCGTCATCTTGGCATCGAAAAGCCTGGCACGTTTTTCAAGTACATTGGACGACCGACTGCGGCATCTCCGTCCACAGGTTATGGTTCTGTTCATGTGGAGGAAGAAAATGAACTTGTCGCTCAAGCACTGAGTTAACCTCATAAAAGCAATGGAAAGAAGAAATTAAAATATTATTGTCATATGCGCATATATTTGTGTGTGTCTGTGTGTCTGTGTGTCTAATTGCGTGAAAACGTTAGTAAAGGGAAAATCAATATTTTTATTGTGAAGGTAAGAAGAAAAAAGAAGAAAATCTTGTTGTTTTTGGTTTTATTGTAAAGAACACAATATTTGTCGTTGCAGCATGAATGATGGGTTGAAAAAAGCCCATAAAGAGAAAAGGTAGAAAGAAGAAGGTTTCCGTTTGTTTTGTTTTTTCTTTTAATCTATTTGTTTATTTATGATGTTACCTTCTATTCAGTTCCTTTTCTCTTCTTATTTCGTGCTATGGAACTTAAAGGAGCCGGGGTTTTTTCTCTATCCCTCTATATGCATCTATATAATATTTGTGTGTGTGTGTGTGTGTATTTGTATTTGTGTATGTGTATATACATGTACATAAAAGTATACACGCTGTGCTTTCGAACGCTTTTATTCATTACGGCCGTTGTTTTTTAAATTGGTCCTTCAGGCAATTAGCAGATGATTCCTTTACCTCTCTCCACACAAATATGTACGGCTTTCCACATCGCCATTTGACCCTCACACTTTGGTTATTTTTGGTGTGCACTCCCTTTTGTGCCTGTTATGTTTGTTGGTGAGAGAGACGTGTTCATGTTCTTTCTCTCCCTGGATTTCTATTTATGTGCGTGGGGTGCGGAAGGACGTTTTTCTTTTTCTTTTCTACTTTGCGAGTTAGACACCTTTTTTTTTTTTTTTTTTTTTTTGGGGGGGGGGGCTATTTTGTTGCCTCTCAACTTTTTTGTGTGTTCGTGTTTGCGTGTATGAATTCATTCGGTCCGATGGTCTCGGACTTTGTTTACTTCAGTGGAGTGACTTGACAACGATATTTTTTTTTTTTTTTTTTTGGTTCCTTTTGTTGTTGTTGTTCTTCTAAAAAACATCGCTTGAGGCCATTGCACCAGGGAGAAGAAGGGCGATAGTGTGTGGTGGCCTCACTTAATCCGTTATATATATATATATATATATATATCCCCTTTTAGAAAAAATAAGTGAGTGAAGAGAAAAGAAAAAAAAAAAAAAAAAGAAAAAGAAAATGCAACAGAAACAAGAAGAGCGTAAGTGGAGTAGTCAGAGCGGAGAAATGAGTTTGAAGCGGGCACTGTGGGTAAACGATCGCTATGCCGTGCGCTGTCGTGGCTGTGATGCCCGCTTTAACTTCGTTCGGCGCCGCCACCATTGCCGCAACTGTGGCCAGGTGTTTTGTAGTGAGTGCCTCATTTCATCGTCGGCCACGTTTATCGGGGAAATCTTTACAGATGTCGTCTCGTCCATTGTCGGGCTTCAGCGAGACCCCCTTCTAAAGGTCTGCCATGTGTGCGACCGCATTCTTCAGGAGCGTGGCATAGGGAGACAAAGAAGTTGGCGGAGGGTTCCTCTGCTACGAAAAGGGATTTCAGATAAGCCGACAGCAAGTAAAACGGTCGTGAAGCATGGGCGGGAGGCGGCGGTGGGCCCCGGCACCGCCACTACGGTGGAAGTGGTCTCACTGGGTACCACACAAAGGGTTGAATTGCCCCCTTCAGTGGGAGAAGGAGTGGGAGTAATTTCCTCTTTCTCCTTCGATGAGGGTTGTGCCACGCCCTTCAGAAGCGGAGTCCCGAGTCTTTCTGCGTATCGGCCTTCCCAGCCACGTCTGCCGACGCATCCTGAAGATCCTAAAGAGCAAGAGATATCCTACGGGTTGACAGATACGCCAGTTTACAGCCGAAACAGCATGACGGATCGGATGAATAAATTTCTTACGGAGGCACGCAAATTACGAATACATGAGTCTCCGGAAAAGTCGCAGAGTGACCTTTCCACCCGCACATACACGCCTCACCCCAAGGCGACCTTCCGAATTGCCGATGCTCGGTCATGGCAAGCACAGTTCGCAAATGTATTTTCCAAATCCATCTTAAAAAGGAACCTTCGGCGTCTTGAATCACAAAGTTCGTATCATTTAATTAAGCGTGTCTCAAGGCTTTTTATGAAGGAAGAGGTGTTATCGTCTTTAGGGGTGGAGACTACAGGGATGGATCGCACAATGTGGATCGCCGGGTTGTGTGATATATCGTGGCGGATAGTGTCGCAATTGCCTATAGTCCTACATGAGCGCACTGAGCAACATTTAGATGTTATTTGTATAGCCGATGGGCAGTTTGTTGAAACGGAAATTATCACTGGAGTGGCATTCATACAAAATGTTGCTTTTAAACGAATGAAAACATATGTGAAGACACCACGTATACTTCTCTTATCCGGTGAAGTGGGTAAAAACCCCAAACCAGGGACGGACCTCTTGGAGTATGTAGAGGGATATGAAGGCCATTTGGATACGCAATATCATCGTATCCACATCTGGCGACCCTCCGTTATTGTTGTACAGGGTAATATGCACCATTATTT